GCATTATGTGGCCGAGATGTGTGTAAGAGACAGGGATAGTTATTTCCCTCATCATTTTTTTCTAAACAATATTATAAAAGATATGATTACAAATATGACCTAATGACTTACTGTTACAAATCCTTCCGTCTCCCTCGAACCCTTCGATACACTTACACCGATATCCTCCTTCAGTGTTACTACAATTAGCATTCTTGTTACAGTTATGTCTGGATAAGCTACACTCATTAATGTCGTCACAATGAATCCCATTAACGCTAAACCCTTCGTTACAGTCACAATCATATGAGCCTTCAGTGTTAGTACATTTTGCATTTACATCGCATGCATCAGCAATCGTTGTGCATTCATCTATATCTGTAATAAACGACAGTTAAGAAGAAAATTTGAAATTTCTGGTTTTTCTTCATCTCTAATTTAGATGCATCATTGATTTGTTTTCAAAAACAGAATTCATCACATCACGATTCTAACAGACAGTTAATCAAAATACTGTGTTTTATCATTTTTTTCATTTTTTTTATTTATAGTATATTAACAGTAATGTTAGAATAGCCACAATATTATGTACATTTTAATGTATTTTCTTTTTTCTATAAGCAATGAAATACTTGAAACTAATGTCTTTAAAGGCCAGCTCCGGGCATACATTTTCTCTTCACTATGTGTTCATACACATTATTATAAGATACCATGTGTGTAATCTCGACAAAAATTTTCGCCAATTTGACTGAAAACGAGAATATAAAAATCCGCTTAGAACCGCAAAAATCCAAGCAGTACTACTTTTTTCACTAGCTAGGTTTTAGAAAACTCCAAGCATGATGAGAAAACAAATTTCAACACACTAACTGTCAACAAACGACACCGCCAGAATGTGACATCGCGCTGCTGTGGACTTCACCACACTAATCTGTAAAACGCGTCGGTCAAGATGGTGTATATTAAACATAATTGAAAAAACAGAATCAATAATGCAATTGATAAAACTACAAAAAATAAATGACAGAAGAGAGTAGTTTATGGATTAACTTGCATATAAAACAAAGATCTAGGCCAAGAAGGTTTTAAGGCCCTCCCTAGGCTAGGACTAGTATCAAAACCAGCTCAGTTGCTGCCCTGCATGTAAATATTACTATTACTTTATTAATGTACGGCCTTGTTTATTCTCTGAGAATTTCCATTTTTCGATTCATAAGCGAGTTTGATAACATCCTAATATCAAGGCACAGTTTCTTGAATATATCATTGTCAAACAACTGTGGTCTGCCATTTTTCCTTCAATTCTTAAGTAGCAAATGATACCATAAAACAACGACAACCGACCCAATTGTCTCAACTCGTCCATCCTCCTAGCCGGGCTGGGAATGGCTCAAAGGCATCCATAGACCTAGATCGATAAAATCTACCACCAAACCTTCCCGTCTATCTTTCCACCATTACTACTCAACCAAAATAGGCCTACTCCTGTCTTTAGTTTTATTTTTTTTCATCATACTTGATTGTCAGAGAGCAGCAGTGTGGATTGCCAAAATAGCGCATGCGCAAAGCTCAGATTGGCTCCCCGGAAAGTAAAAAAAAAAAAAAAAATCAAGTAGCTACGGTGGGAAATAAATGATAATTGCGCAGAAATGCCTACTTGACGTAAAATAAAAACAAGAGAAACGAAAAGTTCGACTAAATTTACCCCAGTTTAGTCATTTAATGTAATTTTTTGCCCTATTGTTTATTTGTTATGAATTTTTTAAAATGCTTGCTCTTAAGCAATAGGAATTTTGCTGGGCAAGTTTACCTATACTTATTTTCAAAAAAATCATGTAGCAAAACAAAATTCAGAAAAATCCTGAAACATAGGTGAATCATTAGATTGATAATAACTATAATATATAATCAATAGAAAATTTTTGCCCGGAGCTGGCCTTTAATTGACATTGGCAGTCACATGTGCTCGTGTGACAATTGTTTAATTATTGGGTTTGTCTAATTATAGAATAAGGTCTCACAAAACAACAGAATGAACTAATGTATATAAACTGACATGTTTGTGGAACATGCGTGTATTTCCTAATTTAAAAATGATATATTCGGATTGTTGTTTTAGTTAAGGTTGGATGACAAGATATGGAAAGTTCAATTTATTGACTAAAATGTATAATTTGTACATTGAATGCTATACCTTGGCACTTGTCTGGACCGACATTGTAATAACCAGTTAGGCATGTGCACATGTAAGAACCATCGTTGTTTTCACATACAGCTTTCTCGTTGCAGGGCTCTGTGTTACATTCATTAATATCTAGATATTCAAATAAAAACGCATTCTTTGTAAATAAAAATTGTCATTTTGAAGTAGTTATATTTGAGTCTGTTTTCAAAACAATTAAAAAGGTACCCTGCTTAAGTCAAACAAAACCAAAACCGTACTGATTTGGTGTATCATAACGATAAAACATACTATAGCATTTCAAAGGAAGCCGGTCCAATTCCAGTTGGGGCAATATTTTTGCACTTGCAGATTCCTCATC